GAACCCAGCCGCACCCTCGTCCACCCTGCTGCAACCAGGGTCACAGCAGGGACTTCACAAGGGCCAGGGGGTGCGAGCTGCTGCCAGACCAGCCTGGGACTCCACAGAGTGGGCGGGCGTTGAAGGCGCAGGTGCAGGATTGGCTGCTCTGCTGGGTGCTTTAACCTCTGCGGGCTGGGCGAGTGCATGCCCAGGGGCCCTTCTGAGCCTTTTTTCTCTCTCTCTCTCTCTTTTCCTTTACTGGAACTGCTTGGAAGTGGCTGTCCTGTTTGTGAGAAAACATGCAGAAAGATGATCAAGGCTTTCATTTCTCTTCTCTTCCTTTTTGCAGCACCACCGTGCAACTATGCATTGTATTTCACAACCTTTTGTGCTAGGTAGATGCCTGTGACTTTTTAACTTGGGGGGTGGGGGGATTGCAAACGAAGGAACTTTTTACATGGATCTTTTTACTCTCAGTTGATCGGGGGAGGGGGGGATTTGGTTCTAGGGTCATACAAGCTCTATCCCAAAGCAAAATCCAAATGTTAATAATATTAGCCTGATGCAGATACCAAAGATAATTTCTTTCCTGCAGAACCTTAGACTTGTGTATTAAGTACGATTACCCAGCACTTGCATTAGTCTAACCTCAGTAATTCCAAAGCTTAGATGTATATTTTGGTATATTTCTGGGATATTAAAAAAAATGTCGTTTAACTTCTTGTTTGTTTCAGTGTAATGCTCTTAAAGTCATAGCATGAAAATAATTGAACTGTCCTATTCTTAGTAGTTTGAAATAATAGTATTTTTGTATGTTTTGGGTGTGTCCATGTATGTATTAACATAACAGTTTTCACTGCCTAGGTGTTCATAATAAAAAAAGAAAATGAAAAAGTTCCGAGTGTACATAATATTCAATAACTATCTTCCACCAGGTGTCAATTTGGATCGCATAGTCGCTGATTACTGCTCCCAGCTGGGATTTTGTTTTGTTTTAAAGAGACAGTAATCATGTTTTTCTAAAGATGTTTTCTTTCTTTTTGTCTTTAAATAGTTTACTGATCCCACTTTTCTTTTCTTCCCTAATTTTTTTTTCCCAAACATTGATTCAGGGGTGTTTTTCCACTGTTGTCAAGGGGGGGAGGGGGAGCCAAGGGCATTGGCTCCTTGGCCTCCCCAAGGTTTTTGTTTCTTGTACTTTAAAAATGTGAGTTTGAGTTCTTGGTGGAAACTGAAGATGTGGTGAAATGATTCTTTCCCAGCTTGCTGCAGCTTTAAGGAGGCAGTGAGGGTTCCCCAGTGGTTGCTGGGAGTCCTCTTAGGTTTCCCCATAGTGACTCTTGCCATGCGCGTGGCTGTGGTGCCGCCTCTTCCCTCCGACAGGAACATTTGATAAGAATTGCCTGGTAACTTGGAGTACCCTCCAGGAGGCAAGGCTTGGTCTTCGGGGTCTTGAAAACCTGAAACACAAGCAACTTCCATTCTGGGGAATTACAGCTGATACCTCCTGAGGCCTGAGGAAGTGGTGGGAACCTGAGCGGTGCTGTCTCTTTAAAAAAAAAAAAGTGCCCTTTCTCTGCTCCCCCCTCCTGGGGCTGCCTGCAGGGGCCTGTAGGCTTGGGAGAGATTGTGTAGGTGACAGTGAATCAGAATGAAAGGGTAGATTTTGTGTAGATGCATTTGTCTGCTGTAATTTTTATATATATATTAAACTGACTGTAACTGTACAGTTCATTTCTGTTGTAAAACATCATTAAACCATTTTCCAAGTGTTTTCACACGTTTGACTTTCTTGGGAGTTGGTATCCTGGATGCTCCCCGGAGCCCTCCAAATGATTTTTCCAGCAGGTGCTCTCAAGAACCCCAGGGTCACTGTGGCAGATTGAGGGCACACGTGCACACACACACACACACACACAACCCAGGGTCGCTGTAGCAGATTGAGGGTGTGCACACGCACACACACACATACACACACAACCCCAGGGTCGCTGTAGCAGATTGAGGGCACACGCACACACACACACACACACTCTGGCTCCTACCTTTCAGGCTTCCTCCTGTGCTCCACGGGGAGCTGTGGCCTCTGCATTTCTCCCCCTCCCCACCAAGCCCCCCCCCCCCACCGCGTGGGTCAGCAGAACCCTGGATGGAGTAGCCATAGTCTCCTTCAGACGCCCACCTGTGACAGACCCTTGATTGATCCTGCAAGAAAACTCTTCAGAGCCCCACCTCCGTATTTGACTGCAGAACTGGGATTGAACTTGACTTGTCCCGATGCATTGGTTAAACTGCCATGACCCTTGGTCGAGCATCTCTCACCAAATCCTGACCATTGATTGGGAGGTGGGAGTGGGGAGGGTCCTCGGAAGGAAGCTGGGCCTGAACTTGTGTTCGATGCTTCCACTTCCAAAAATACAAGGGCACAGCAAAACGCGTCTCAAAATACAAGTAAGAGACGTTTGTTTTGGTATAAAAAGTCTTTGAAATCCATGCGTAGTTTTTTTTCTAGTATTCATTTTTCACAAACTTTCTAAAGACTCCTCGTGTGCATGAATTTCAGAATTGTTGGCACCAAAGGAAAGCTGTCCTGTCACTCCATTTTTGAAGTGCCCTTAAAAAATGCATTGATTTTTGTAAAAGGGAACACTTGAATCTGAAATGACTTTCCCCCCTGAGAGAAAACCCTCAGCTTTAGGAAGTGCTTTGCTTTTTTTTTTTTTTTTTTTTTATTTATTTATTTATTTAGACAGGCAGAGTTAGAGACAGAAAGAAAGGTCTTCCTTTTCTGTTGGTTCATCCTCCAAATGGCCGCTACCGCCGGCGCAGCACGCCAATCCGAAGGCAGGAGCCAGGTGCTTCTCCTCGTCTCCCATGCAAGTGCAGGGCCCAAGCACTTGGGCCATCCTCCACTGCACTCCCTGGCCACAGCAGAGAGCTGGCCTGGAAGAGGGGCAACCGGGACAGAATCCGGTGCCCCGACCGGGACTAGAACCCCGTGTGCCGGCGCCGCAAGGCGGAGGATTAGCCTAGTGAACTGCAGCGCCGGCTGAGGAAAGGCTTTGGCCATGGGCCCTGAGGGTTTGCTTCCTGCTCCCCCAGCCACCCTGACTCACAGGCTGGACGGAGCGGCCATCCTGTGGAGGGCCCAGATGCTGAGCCAAGGACCAGCCACCCCCCACACGCTGCTCCTGCATCAAAGGACCTCATTTCATCCCTTCCTGTTTAAATAGCTAGTGTTTACCTTTGCAGATTTTCTTAAAGTAATTTCAGCATAAAGCCCTGTGGTAGGCCCAGTGGCATGCTCACTACCAGGAGAAACATTTGAGGCAGTGGACCCATTAGCCACAGGCCAGGAACTGAGGCTAAGCCGCAGCTGCCTCCTGGGTTTTGTGCCCCAGGGGCCTCCTTCAAAAGGCTGTCACTGGAGCCACCTGTGGAGGGGAAAGGCGCCCTCCACAGGCTGGGGTGGCACTGGAGGATATCTGTGGCTGGGAACTCAGCAGGAGGTTCACAAAAGCAGTTGTTGATCAACAACTAGAAACGCCTGGCTTGGAGCCAGCACACGCATCACATGTTGTCCAGAGGACAGAACACAGCCCAGTCACGCAGCTGGCCGAGCCTTGGCTCACTTGTGCAGGGCCTTCTCCACCCGTGTTGCTCCCTGCCATGCCTGCCTGCGGGGAATAAGCATTGCTCTGTTTGTAAGTCAGGAGCCTTGGATCCCACCTCATACTCGAAGGAGAAAAACAGTCATCAAACGGACCCACGTTAAACCTGAGTTAGTAACATGTAAGTGATAACAATATTGAGAAATGACTGAAGGCTTTCCTGATTGCAAACACCCATCTGCACGTCTTAAGATGGGAAATAGCTGTGTCTTAATGGATGCCTATGTTGAGTGGTTTTAAAAATATTTACTTGAAAAGCAGAAGGACAGAGGGAGAGACAAGAGAAAGCTCTTCAATCCACTGATTCACTCCCCAAATGGCCCCAACAGTCTTTCCTAGGCCAGGCTGCTACCAGGAGCCAGAAACTCCATCCAGGTCTCCAACATGGGGCCTAAGCGCTTGGGCCATCCTCTACTGCTTTCCCAAGCGCATTAGCAGGAAGCTGAATTGGAAGTGGAGCAACCAAGACTCGAACCAGTGCCCCAATATGGGATGCCAACATTGCAGGGTGGTGGCTTAATCCTCTGAGCCACACACAACACCAGCCCCAGAGCCAGTCGTTCTAATGGAAGCACCAGATTTCAGTTTCCCAACCCAGTAAGAGCCAGAATTCGCTCAAGAGACAGTTACAAATTGAACGCCTTCTGTCTGAACTGCTCCTGAGTTACACCTGCCTGGCTGTGATGTGCATTGCTCCTGGTAGAATCCCCAGACTTCAGGGACTTTCGGCAGTCATGGCCTTGAACGTAACTTTGGAAAAAGTCACAGTACAGGTCTCGAAGTCTTGGCATGAAGTGCATGGGGAGGCTTGATGAGTGGGGGCCTTAAAGATGGGCAGTGCAGCTACAGGAGATCCTGCTGAGGCGGAGCCTCCCGTCGTGAGGAAAACTGACCCAAGAGACCTCTGTTGGCTTCCAGCCCTGTGGACTGAGTCATTCTGTGCCATGACATTAGCTGCTGTTGGCCACTCCTGGGCCCCCTGTGCTTGCGGTGTGAGTGTGAGGCTGGCTCCCCTCACTGCTGCTTGCTCTCCTGCATCCCATGAACTTGGGCACGTTGGAACAGGGAACTCCCTTCCCAGCACCCTCTAAGGGTTCTGGTGTAAGGCCCGGGCTCATCCTGACAGTATCACACCACGTACCACCCTCTGTCCCGGGGCACAGCCTCCCAGCCTCGATGTCACTCACCCTCACCCTGCCTGTGCAATGTACCCCCGTGGCTGCATTCCGGGCTGCTGGCTGCCCCTGTGCTGGCCTGGGCTTCCTGTTCTCTCCCGGGAATCAGCAGGGATGCTGTGCTGATTGATGATTTCAGCTGTGGAAATGAAGCTCAAAATAAGGCGGCATTTTCACTGAGGCATTTATTATGCAAAGTAGCAAGACTTCAGCAAGGCAGTATAACTTAAAACCGAGCAGAGCAGAGAGGGTTCTCCGTCCGTGGCCTTGTGCCCTTTTACAAGGCAGTGTCGCGGCAGGACGTTGAGGTTCTGCTGTGGTACCAGTGCCCACCGGGTCATCATGGGCCCGCGTGTCTTCCTTTGATGTCTTTGCAGCGATGGGTTTCTTGTTCAGTCAGAGGTGACGCAATTCTGCCCCCCCTCCCTGGCACGTAACCCAGCCTCAGCAGTGACACCTGCTGTGGTCTTTAAACCTATTTGTGAACAACTCATTTCCCGAGAACCTGAGGTCCACAAAGGCAAGAACAGTCCCCAAGGTGCCTGACCCACAGATTGCAGGGTGTGGGGTGCAGGCCCGCTCGCTTAGCACCTCCTTGCCATGGTCACCTGTAGCAGGTGCACACTCGCCATGGTAGGCACCGCTCGGCCCCATTACAGTTGTACTGAAATGCGGGTAAGGCAGACAATGGAAGCCAAGTTTACAGCACGAGCGAAGCCACTCACATCTGGGCAGAACCGTGCAGACTTTTAGGAGATGTGCTGCCGTCTTGGGTTTCTCGGGAGACTACAAATCGCGAATTTACAAATGAGCCGCAAGAGAGTGTGCTGTTGCCCAGGTGAGAGGCCAGACCCGACCCAGGGGGACAAGGTGGGGAGGCGGTGCGTGGTGGGAGGGGAGGGTCCCTTAAAGAGTACAGGGGCCATCCTCTCTGTGTGCTGGGTTGGAACTGGATGTGACAGTGCTATAACCCTAAGTACCCTGTTCATCAAGAGCAATCCTTTGGTGGCTGAGAAGACAAGTGAAGCCGGTAGTAAATGCTTTGTCCTGTGTCTTTCACAATCTGGCCGTCTGCAGGTGGGGCCTGTCAGTGGCGCCGTCCCTGGCCGTTAGCGAGGAGGCAGGGTCTGCATGTGGAGGGCGTCGTAGGTGTCCTTGGTGGCTGCGCTGAGCCCCTGGTGAAGACAGAGCAGAAAGGAAGAGTTGCCAGGAGCCCACGGGCACGAGCCCACCCGAGACCCACAGATGTCTCTGCAGCCCAGCCCCAGTTGCAACCTCCCGCGTGGCCAGGGGCCCAGGAGGGAACCCCATGTCCTGCAGGCGAGGAGCCTCCACCGGGATGGCTTCCACGTCCCCTGCAAGTGGCCTGGTAGCAATTTTGTTTCCCCAAATTCTTACATCTCTTCCCAGTTTCCCCAGTGCTGGGCCCTACAACCCTCGGGCCCAGCCAACTTCCTGTTGAACCAAACAGGAAGCAGCGGCGGCGGGGTGGGGTGGGGGGCCTCCACCTCAAACACTGAGCAGAAACCCGGTGGGGCAGGGCAGGAGTCAGGGGGAAGGGTCCAGGCCTGCGTCAGAGAACCTACAGCCCCTGGTCACCTGGACGGACAAGGGGCTTGGACCTGGTGCGGGGGGAGAGAGGGGTGGCCCCTGCCCAGGCCTGTCTGCAACACTGTTGGAGTCAAGGCAGCAGCAGCCACTCACAGGCTGGTTTTGGGGGGCCCCTTGATATCACTGTGAACTCGGGCAGGAAAGGAGCAAGAAAGAGAAATGAGGATACCCTGGGGATGCGGTATAGAGAAGTAGGTTGCCTTCTCCTAGTTTGCATAATTATGAGCACTGATTTGCATATGCCAGGCACCTGACTACAGTCACATTTTCTTTCTGAGGCTTCCCCACCCATCCCATCTTCTGTAGACCTGAGGATACACAGTCAAGGTTCTTGTAAGGGCCCAGCCCAGTGGACAGAGACAGGAAATTACTCATGTGGCCCTACTGCAGCTGCGCCCTTAGGGAGACCTTGCCTGGAGGCCTGCTGTGGCCAAGTACGCCTGTGGCCAGGACCTCTTGGTTGGCACCAGGTGATTTGCTGAGTGGTGGCGTCCCAGCCCTGCCCCTCCTGGGGTTACTGGCAGTGGAGTCGCCACTGGCCTGCATGGGTACCCTGGGCTTGCCCTGCCCAGCTGCTAGCAGGAGCTGGTGCCACCAGCAGGTCCAACACGGAGAGCTTTCAGACAATGCCACCCCAGGAAGGAAGCCACAGCTCCTACCTGGTAAAGGCCATCATGCCCCTTGCCTCTGCGCCGCTGGTTCTGTGGGAATGAGACGGGAAAGAAAAAAAAAAAAGGTTAGAAAGGCAGGCGGTCAGCGGTGGCATTCCTGCTCCAGGGCCCCAGGTCAGATCTTCGCCTCTGGCTCCCCTGGGGACTGGGTGCCTTCTGCCCTGCTCAGATCCTTGTTCCCCTCTTCCCTAGCAGCGTGGCCCAGCGCAGCATCCTAATTGCGATGCCTTGCAGGAAACACGGTTCTCAGCCAGTTTTGGGCACGCACGGTCTATGCAGGTGCGCGGGCCTCTGGCTTGCAGCTCTCTTTGCCATTTTGAAATGCTTTATCGCTTTTGTACAGCTGAGACTGCCAGTACCATCCGGATGGCTTTTCAATGCCAGCCCTTCCCTAGCATCTGAGGCACTGGGGGAGCTGAGTCTGCCTGTGCCCTTGGCAGGTGATAGGAGGCGTGCAAGGGACACGGGGTCTGCAGCAGGAACTGAACTTAAGAAAGGGCAGCGCTGAGGGCCGGCGCCGTGGCATAGCGGGTTGAGCCGACACCTGCAATGCCAGCATCCCAAATGGGCGCCAGTTCGTGTCCCGGCAGCTCCACTTCCATTCCCGCTCCCTGCTAACGTGTGTGGGAAAGCTGCAGGAGATGGCCCATGTGTTTGGGCCCCTGTCACCCACGTGGGAGACCCATAAGAAGCTCTTGGTTTCAGCCTGGCCCAGCCCTGGCCGTTGCAGCCATCTGGGGAGTGACCAGCGGATGGAAGACCTCTGTCCCTCCCTCTCACTCTATCTCTGACATTCAAATAAAAGAAAGAAATCTTTAAGAGAAAAGAGCAACACTCAGAGTGGGCATGGTGCAGAGGTTAAAACGTGGCGTGGGACGCGCGCATCCCAAATCAGAGCTCCTGAGCTCAGGTCCTGCTCTGCGTCTGATTCCAGCCCCTTGCTCACGCAGGCCCCGGGAGCCAGCAGGTGATGGTTCAAGTATTTGTGTCCCTGCCACCCATATAAAAGACCTGAATTGAGTTCCCGGCTCCCGACTTCAGCCTGGCCCAACCTCAGCTGTTGCAGGCATTTGGGGAGTGACCCAGCAGATGGAAAATTTATCTCCATCTCTGTGTCTCTCTGCCTCTCAAATTAAAAAAAAAAAAAAAAAAAAAGATAAAGAAAGGAACCACATTCACCTCGCCTTTCATGCCGATCTCACTGTAGGCCTCTGCCATCTTGTCTTTCTGCAGTGCCTGGGGAGAAGAGGGGGAGACGCTGATGGGACTCTACGTAAAAAACCCTGGAGTCCCCAACAACTTGGCAGGGTACCCCCACAACCAGAAGCACACAGGGACCCCCAGAATCATTTACTTTGAGCAAGTCATGATGTTATACATGGGTCCCACACCATGGGCTGTGCATGAGCCCACCGCAGGAGGGAGAGAGGTGGCTCCCCTCCCAGTAGGTACCACCTGCAAGGGTCCCCTTCGTGGTGGACACCTAGCAACAGCCAGAAAAAAAGAAAGATGATCGGGTTCGCCCCCAGGATGGTGGGGCTGACCCTACAATGAGAGGAAGCACTGGAGACACCCCTCCAGCCCCAGAGAGAGCGGCCGCCCCACCCCGTCCTGATCTTGCTGTCTTCCTCCCAGCCCTCCGCCTGCTGATGGAGCCGAGAACTCCAGCAGCAGGGCTCCGGAGCGGCGGGCAGGAGGGAGCGCAAGGGCAGGAGAGCACCTGCCGCAGGCAGCGAGCCGGTGAGGTGTCCCTGGACTCAGGGAAGGGAAGGCCAGGCCAGGACACAGACCGTGGAGCGCAGAGAAGGGCCCTCCTGCCAGCCCCCCTGCAGCCCTGCCCTGTCAGCTTGGCGAGGTGAGACCACTACTCACGTTGTACAGGCCTTCCTGAGGGTTCTTCCTCCTCTGCTAGAAAAGACATGGGGGCAGTGGGGGAGGAGTTAGAAGGGGAGGAACAGAAATCCAGGCCTCCAGGACAGCCAGCCCCATCCACCCCCTCTCTCCCCAGCTCAGCTATCAGCCATCCAGGTGCCTGAGCTGTCCAGCCACTGCCCAGGCCACTGTCGGGCCCCAGCAACCCTCCCTGTCTCCTACTTGGTGATGCACACTGGCACACCCACCTCACCCCCGCGTGGGGCCTACCCAGTCCCGGCCTTGCCCAGGGCAGGCCTTGGTGACGTCTGCCGATGGCTGTCCCCTCTCAGACATGGCTCCACACATGTCACAAGCGAACAAGTGGGCCAAGATGGAAAGCACCATGCACCCTCATTGGGGAGAGGGCAGCCACTGCCCTGTGGTTCTACTGAGAGTTGCCGTACAGAGAATGGCCCCCCGTGTCCTTGTAGTCCAGCCAGGGGGACTGCTGCTCTGTCACTCCAGCAACAACACAAGGCTCAGAGGGCCTGGGCAGCTGCGGCCAGAACCGTGGAGGACCACCTGGCGGCAGCAGGCGGTCCAGCCCTCCTCTTAAATGGAGGCGGCCCTGTACCAGCCGGCCGTATGCACCTGCTCCCCTCTCACAGACAGAGGCACCCGAGCCCACACTGGGCCGTAACTCCCCAGAGGCAGCCGGAAACCAGATTCCTGGCCCTCTCTGTGTGGACTTCTGTACCACGTCTTCCTTCCGGGGGCCTGTGGGGGCCCGTGGTACCCCATTGTGTGCAAGGGGCAACGTGAGCTCCTTGGTGGATGGGGCCTGGGCACGGGGGCTGGCGTGCTGCGTTCGAGCACGGGAGGCCCCTCATGACGCAGAAGGCAGCAGACCGTAGAGGACGAGAAGGGGCAGCAGCAGGTGGCACCGCCCCCTGCCCTTCGGGGCGGGTCCGGCTGCAGAGCGGGCGGGCGCTGTGAAGCCCCTGCAGCCGGGGCCCACACACGGGTGCCCACCTGTTTCCCTCCCATCTCAGGGTCCCGGCCCCGCCTCTTGTCCAGCACGTCGTACTCCTCTCTTCTGCCGATATTGAGCTCCTGAAACAGACGGGCCGTGGTCAGACCCTGGAAGGAGGGCCCCCGGGGGATGGGGTCTGCCCGACTGGGGGCTTAGCTTCCTGTTCAGGCGGCTCAGGGATAAATAAATCAACGGAGCAGGGTTTGGGGAGGGGGGGCAGGGAATGGGAGTAACTGGCCCATCACGGTGACCATGGACAGGGTCCCCAAAGGCCCCCTCCCCTCCAGGAAGCTGTCGCTGCTTGCTGTCCAGTCTAAGGGGACACATGATCACATCCCCACCAGAAAGGGGAGAGGCTCAGCGAGGGTAACCCACCCAAAGTCCCAAGGAGCGTGAGAGTGGTGCCCGTCGGTCCAGAAGATTCGACTGGGTCCCTCCCCGCACCCCCCCCCCCCAGGCCTTGGCCCATGGCGGCCCGCTCAGGGGCAGGCGCAGGACCTCACATGTGTGACCCTCACCGTCTCCGGGTTACCGGTTAGAAAACAGGCAGAAGCCAGCGCCGCCTGCCTCAGCGCGGCTGATCGCGTGCGGCCGGCACGGGAGTGACCCTGGGTCCCAGGAGAGGCCCGCACAGGACGTGGCCGTCCCCGCGGGGGGCACTTACGTTGTAGAGCTGGGTGTGGCCCTGCGGGGACACGGGGACGTCTTCACCCCTGCTGAACTGGAACAGAGAGCAGGAGCGCGTCACTGCTGGAGCCGGGGGTGGGGACCCCGTCCGCAGCCTCCCCCCTCCCCCGCCGTGTTCTCTCGCGGGGTCCCCAGCGGCCCCAGAGCTCGTCTCCAGGGACTCGAAGGACAACCCAAGTGGGCAGCGGCTGCACAGGGCCCCGCCTCCCGTCTTGGTCTGGGGCAGGGTCTAGTGTCAGCCGCTACCTGCCTGCCCGGGGAGCCCCGGGTGTCTGAAGCAGGCACCACCTCGACCTTCTGCAAGGTGCTAACAGAGGCTGAGCACTGGAAAACACCCATGAGATCATCCAGGCTGGGTAGCGTTTCACCAAGACACCCCCGCCCCCACAAATGTTATAACAGCAGCCTGCACCAGGCTCTCCCTCCCACCAGGTTCTGCTCAGCCAGGCACCTGCACCTCCTGAGCCCACCCAGTGTGTCCCTGCTTTGCCCACGGACGCCAAGCCCCAGGCATGGCCCCAGCCTGAGACTTCACTACACCAAGGCCCCTCTGAAAACTCACCTCGTGGGGGAGCCCCACCTCTCACCCCCAACCCCAGCACACAGGAGCACCCACCTTTGCTCTCAGGTACAGGGCGGTGACAATGACACCGTAGAGGAAGAGGATTCCATCCAGCAGGTAGCAGAGTTTGGGATCCAGCAGGCCAAAGCTCTGTGCCTCTGTGCCGGGAGAGAAAGGTGGTCAGAGCCAGACCCAGGGTGGCCAGATATGTCCCCACCCATGCCAAGGAAACCAGAGCCAGTCCCCAAACCCGCACAAGGCCACGCCTCTGCTTCCCACCCCAGCAGCTCCTGGCCTGCCCCAGCAGCAGGCGGGGGTGGGAATGAGGTGGAAGGCAAACCCCGCCCCAGTACAGGACTTCTGCCCTGGGACAGCCCTGCTGCGTGCGCGCCTCACGTGGTGGCCTGGGAAGATGCCAAGTTGGCAGAACAGCCCCATCCGAACTCAGTGTGGCTCCTGGGTCCTCCCCTAGCGACAGCGGCGGGAGGCTGGGCTCAGAGACTTGAAGGCCTGAGGAGGTCCTTCAGCAACCATGCACCCATTAGCACAGTGAGAATTCAGAGAACTCCCCCCACCCCCGACTCCCTGCTCCCCTCCACCTTCCCACCCACCCCCCACCCATGCTAAGGTTTTACCCTCCAGCAGGCAGTGGGCTCTGGTGCTCAGTAGGGAGCAGGCAGAGGTATCCCAGGGGAATCCCACCTCCCCCTGCCCAGCAGTCCTGGCTCCGTGGCCCGAGCCAGGGGTGCCCCCAGCAGACACGCCCTCCAAGCCCAGGACACACTCTGTTCTCCCAGGACACTGGCCTCTGTGCTTTTTGCCATGCCCTGCCTTTCTCTCCATGAAACCCCAGCTGCCCCCTGGCGACACCTCACATCCTGCAAAATGTAGCTCGGAGGTCCCCGCTGTCTGGCTTCTCCTTCCTCAAATCCCCAAGGAGCCCCCAGCTCCTCCTGGCATATTGACAGTTGCCAAACTCTGGTTCACGCCCGCTAAGTGCTGCGGTTAAATAGAATTAGCATTTTCACTCGGAAGATCTCCACACCGTGAGTGAGGTGTGGCTTTTAGCCTCCACTGCACTTCCTACTAGGCGAGTGTGCAGCAACTCAACTAGGAAACCTGGGTGTGGTGTCCATCTTACTTGGTTCCTGCCTGGGAGCCACCAGAGCGCCAGGCCAACCCCTCAGTGGCAAGGCCAGGGCGCCCTCTGGTGGCCAGATGCGGGCCTACAACAGGGCAGGGAGCGGCTGGGTATTGGCTTTGGAGACTGTCTTGTCCTTACAGCTCTGTCATTTGGATGGGTCACTCTCTTTCTTTCTTTCTTTCTTTCTTTCTTTCTTTCTTTCTTTCTTTCTTTCTTTCTTTCTTTCTTTCTTTTTCTTTTTCTTTTTCCTTTTCTTTTTCTTTTTCTTTTTTTGACAGGCAGAGTGGACAGTGAGAGAAAGAGACAGGGAGAAAGGTCTTCCTTTTCCGTTGGTTCACCCCCCAGTGGCCGCTGCGGCCGGCGCACCGCGCTGATCCAAAGCCAGGAGCCAGGTGCTTCTCCTGGTCTCCCATGCGGGTGCAGGGTCCAAGCACTTGGACCATCCTCCACTGCACTCCCAGGCCAGAGCAGAGAGCTGGACTGGAAAAGGAGCAACCGGGACAGAATCCGGCGCCCCGACAGGGACTAGAACCCGGGGTGCCGGTGCCGCAGGCGGAGGATCAGCCTAGTGAGCCGCAGTGCCGGCCAGGTCACCCTCTTTCAACTGCTCTTCTGTTATCGTGAAACCATGGTATTTCTTCAGCAGGTGCCCTGTGTCTGACACTACTTTAAATGGGATCACAGTCACAGCTCCACACGGAAACCCAAGCACAGAGAACTTCAGGTTCGGAGCACACTTGGTAACCCTAGGCCTGAGGCCAACAGGGTCTCCACTCCCTTCCCGCCCACCCCTCAGCCCGGCCCAGCCCTGCCTCCTCTCTCCACTAAGCCATGGAAGCAAGTGGTTGAAGGCTGCTCCTGCATCCCCTCCCCACGACCAGGAGTCCCTCTGCCCATGGCTCCAACCCTAGCCCAGGACCCCTCCTGGCCCCAGGCAGCTGATCCCTGTGAACACCCACCGCTCCTGCTCGGAAGCTGTGACCTGGGAGAAACGTCCAGACTCCTTGTCCTGCCACGCTGGGGCTCAGCGCCCTCTCTGGGCCCTGGCGCCCCAGCCCCTGGCCCTCCCACTCCACTCCCCCTGGAGCGCACCTCCCTTTGCTGAAGCCCTTCCCTGCACCCCACCCCCGCCTCCACCCAGACCCCGCTACAGTGAGAGTTCCCCGGGGCTGTGCCCCACAAAGCGCTCCGCAAACATCACTCACACCCTGGGCCCATCCGTGGAGGCCGCAAGCCCTCAGACCAGCGGCTGCATCTTCTCCGTTGTCCCCTCCTCCCCTGCCCCCTGCATCCAAGCACAGGGCAGAGGGCTGACATCAGTAGGCAGAGGGCATACTGACGAGCAAGACACAGGGCCCCAGGGTGTGGCACGGTGGCACAGCGGGTTCAGCCTCCCGCACCGCATTCCATATGGGCTCCACTTCCGATCTGGCCCCCTCCTGATGTGCCCAGGAAAGCAGCAGAGGATGGCCCAGGTGTAACTTGGGTCCCTGCCTTCCACATGGGAGACCCGGATGGAGTTTCAAGCTCCTGGCTTTAGCGTGGCCCAGCCCCAGCCGTTGCAGCCATGTAGGGAGTAAACCAGCAGATAGAAGCGCTCTCTCTCTCTCTCTCTCTCTCTCTCTGTCACTCTGCCTTTCACATAAATATCATATGAATATTTAATAAAAAGAAAAGAAAAATGCTGCCCCCACCTAGGTTTGTCTGGCCGGCCTCTGCCCTGAGATGGTATTGGTTGACTCCTGACCCAAAGCAAGAGGCTGAGGGCCTCTGGGAGACCAGCCTGCCCCCAACAGAGGCCCCCGCTGCTCCGGCGAGGTCTCTGTAGGACTGGACAGGTGGCGGGGGTGGTTGAGATTCAGATAAAGGGCTGGGGAAGTTGCCCCGCTGTCTGGTGCATACAATGAGAACAGAAACTTCCTGGACAGTCCATTGAGAACAAGTAAGCAGTATTTCTTCACATGGTGCAAACTCGGCACAGTGAGGGGGCAGGGACCCGGTGTCTCCCTGGAGACGAGTCACAGGGACCAGGCCTCCTTCTCTCTTTGGAGAGAGCAGCCTGAGCTCATGGCCAGGGACAGACGTGCTGTGGGTGACTGGCAGAGGAGAGGGTATCAGCCCCGACACACTTCCCTGGGCTGAGACCCTTAACTCCTCAGCCCAGCTGAGCCCGGATGGGAGGGAGGGTCTGAGAAAGGCAGCCACAGTCCAGGCAGGGACCCAGACCCTAATTTAGCTGCACACCGAAGACAGAGTCACTGGGCACCTGCTGATGCGCCCATGCCAAGAGGTATTAAAGTAGAAAATGTCCTGAGCTGGGTGCAGGTGGGCTCCCATGCGCCCACCCATGTGCCCCGGTCACATCTATACATTCTGCCCTAATAGCGGCCGGCAGCCAAGCGGAGGAAGCCTCCATCTCACGCTCCGACCCCTGGCCCGGGGTCACAGAGCCCAGGAGGACCCTCGGGTCTGGAAGGGGACCCACAGACTCTCCCTGGCCTCCCGGGCTCTGATTCAAGTGGCCCGGGGTGGGGCTGAGGGGCAGAGCTGCAGCATCACAGGAACAGAGGCCGGCACAGGTGCCGGCAAAGCTCGGCCCTCCAGAGAGAGCGGTCACACCTGACAGCATGTGACGCCTCACAGTTCCAAGGAAAGGAGGGAGGAAACCGGGGCTACGCTCCTCCGCACAGACCGTCATTTTTGTGAACTTCTGAACTGTATAGTCCTGAGCTTCTCGAAGCATCGGCTTCCCCGTCCGTAAAATAAGGATTATCTCCCTGTCACAACAGGTGGTAGTGAGGATTACAAATGGACATCCCCGTGGGAGGGGGTTAAGCCACTGCCTGAGGCACCCCGTAGCCCATACCCCATATCAGGCTGCCGGTTCAAATCTCAGGTGCTCCACTTGTGTTCAGCCTCCAGCTAATGCATCCTGGTTGGCAGCAGCTGGTGGCACAAAGCTCTCGAGCCCTTGCCTCCCACATGGGAGAACTGGATGAGATCCAGGCTCCCGGCTTCAGCCGGGCCCAACCCTGGCTGGTGTGAATATTTGGGGAATGAACCAGGGGATGGAAGTTCTCTCTCTCTCTCTCTCTTTCTCTCTCTCTCTTTCTCTCTCTCTTCCTCCTCCCCCCCTTATCTCCCCTCCCGGCATTATTCTTTCAAGTAAATAAAAATAAACTTTTTTTAAAAATGATGTTTCTAATGCATGAGGGTTAAAGACCATCATTCTTACGGGGTGAAGGACTGGCATGCGCAGTGTCAGCTGTTATCGTTGCCATGGTTTTTACTTTAAGCCCATCCAAAACAAGCTGGAACCTTCTTGCCTTGTAGCAAGACACCCGGAATAGCCCCTGGGAGATGCCCAGGGGCACACCCCCAAGTTCCGGACTGGACGTTTCGTAGCCATCACACTGGACTTTGGGGCCCCAGAGGGCAGCCCGGAGAAGCATCTGTTCTTACAGAAGCTGTTTTATTTTAAAGAAGATTTGTTTATTTTATTTGAAAACCAGAGTTACAGAGAGAGAAGGAAAGACAGAGCGAGCGAGACCATCCATCCGCTGGTTCACTCCCCAAATGGCCGCAGCAGCCAGGGCTGGGTCAAGCTGAAGCCAGGAGATTTTTCCAGGTCTCCCATGTGGGTGTAGGAACCCAGGGAGTTGGGCCATCCCCTGCTGCCTTCTCAGGCACATTAGTAGGGAGCTGGATGGGAAGTGGAGCAGCCGGGACTCGAACCAGCGTGATAAGTGGCATTTTAACTCTATGCCACAGCGCCAGTCCCTGGAAGCTAGTTTTGCCAGTGAGACTGACTTTTTAAAATTTTCAGTGTTTATTTATTTCTTTTCATCTACTTGAAAGGCAGGCAAATGCTTCAGGCAAATGCCTGAAACAGCCAGGACTGGCCAGGCCAAATTCAGGAGGCTGGAACTCCATCGGGGTCTCCCTCACTGGTGGCAGGGGACCAACAAGCACTAGGACCAGCACCTGCTGCATTAGCAGGGAGCTGCATCAGGA